TGGTGTCCTTAATTAATGGTATGAGGTTAGGAGTAAGGGAGAGAGGTGACCTTAGTTGGGGTACTGTGGACCTAGATAAAGGAGTAAGTTAATTATGATATCGAGAGCATTATAGTGATTAATATTATTCCAACTATTATTAATAATAATGTTAATGAGATTATTATTATTATTATTATTATTATTATTATTATTATTATTCGTATTAATAATATTATTTGGTGGAATATTATTATTATTCATATTATTACTATTAGTATGAATATTATTATTAGTGGGAGAATATTATTATTATTATTATTATTATTATTATTATTATTATTATTATTATTATATAATTTAAATAATAAAATAAGAAATAAGGGATTAAAGGAAATAGAGAAGTTTTTTGGGGAAAAAGAATTAGAACACGATAAACTGCCGGAGAAATGTTTTGGGAGAAAAAGAGAAACTGACGAACAAGGAGAGCTAGGGCAGAGGAACCAAATTCTCCATTGTTGATCAAGGAAAAGCTCAATTCTAAGGTAAGGGGGGAGAATGGATTTCAATATGGGTGAATTAACATGAGAGGGTAGTGAGAGGTCCTTTCTCTCATAGGAATTATGTGTTCTTGAGGATTCTTTAATCCAATTTTCGTAACTTGATTTGTTCTCAAATTTTCTGTTATTGTTGAATACTGTTCGTATGATGTCTTGTGTATCCGAAACCAGAATTAATACGGAATTCGTGTGAGAAATCCTCGATGCTGTCATAGAATACTAGTGAGTAGTAGATCTGGAAATTTGAACTTTTAGGGATTTGGGCAAATATGTAGAAATGAATGTGTTATATCATTATTAGTACGATGCTCTAAGGTTTCCCTAAGGTTTAGAGATTTGGGTTAATTGTGGGAAATATGGAGGTAACCGTAAGAATCTGAGGTTATGACCAAATGGCCAAATGATATGTATCGTTGAATATTAATATAGGAAAAACTTATGGGAAATTGAACCTTCGTGGCCAGAACCTTGACATTGTTATATGTTTGACCCTGAAGGGATTAAATATTAGATAGTGAGTAATTTTAATGTCGTAGAGTGTAATTGAAGGAAAAATTGTAATATGTTGTCCCTATAGGAATAAGAATATTCAAATGTGGGTAACTCTGAAGTACTCAGAGCAATTGCAGAAAATAGTGTTTTATGTGTTGCAAATGTTGCCAGATGAGCCTAATAAACCATAGAAGTTGTGCAGTTATTGCCGTATAACCTTAGGAATATTTTAATGATGTTTTGGGTGCTTTGAGTAAGTGATTCGCAAGAATAATTAAGTGAATATCAGTTTCGGAGCGTAACAACGTCTTTCTGTCCGTCACGGATGTTCATGTTTTCGGTCGAAATTGTTTTGGACGTAATTTTGGATCCGTAAGTCCGTTTTGATCCCCGTTCGAAGCGTTGGAAAGTTAATGAACAGAGCTATAACATAGGATAGATAAGGGATTTATTTTCCCAATACTTTTATATCTAATTATGGTAATTCCTGAGAGGATTACGGTGAGCGGATGGCTCGTGTGGATCAAGATTGATCGTGAATTATGCATGATGTATTACATTGCATAATTGTGTTGACATGCATTTCATATCATGTGTCTTGTGGAGATGGCTAGGTGGGAATCCATGATGGGTGCCTAGTTTCATCCGGACTCCATTGTGTAAGTCGTTGTGGAGATAAGTTGTAGTTCAAAGGAACGTATATACGACTTATCCGGATTCCGACGGGAATCGGGTTCTAGTGTGAATCGTATGAGATTGTGTTGGTACCACATGCATTGTGTCGAGTCAGTGAGTCGCATTGCATTATTGTAATTGAATGTGGGCTATTAGTGCCGAATGATTGAGGTGACACGTGTATGTGCGTTAATTATGTATGATTGTATGGGTGGTGTGTAACTACTCCTTAGCATATGTATTTCACCGTTTATTTATTGAATGTAGTTCTCACCCCTTTTTGTTGTTGTGTCTGTGCTCTCTTGGGAGTACAGGTGACCAGGTACCTGAGTAGTGCTTGAAGTGTGTTGTTATTTGATCGAGTCTTAGGAGTCGCTCTGATACGTAACATGGGATGACGGGATTACGTTGTTATTTGACTACTTTATTTGTTTATTGTTACGTATCTTCATTTGTTGGACTTATGTTGTATGACCTCGTGTCGAGGAGAATTATATTGGAGAATTGATTTGTATTCCACTGCTTAATTGAAAACTAAATAATGTTTATTATCTTAATGAAATGAAGTGACTTAGTGTGATATTCCACTGTGTTGGAGAACTCTGATGAATTTCATGAATTGTTCCTATATATTTATTATATTACGCGTACGGGATAGAGTGGGGTGTTACAGATCAACCCATGAATCCTAATACATATTCTAATGCTTTTTTAAACTAAAGTTTGAGAGACAATATTCTCGATTGAAAAATAGTTTAATTCAATAATAAAAAAAAAGTACGTTGCAAGAAAGTAATCAAAAGTGTTATAAAATGCGTTGAAAGAAATTTGTGCAATAAAGAAAATAAATTTCTGAACAAAAGTATAAACTGAATTTAATTAAATGGTAAGAAAATGGTGTTTCATCAAACATACATTTCTCAATTATTCTTTTCTCAACACACTAGGTATTTTGAGTAATTTGAGTGACTTGTACAAACTTGATCACACCCGAAATTCTATCAATAAGACCTCTTATTTATATTGAATCGCAATAACTGCCTCTAACGACCATTCTCCTAAAACAAGATAAGTGACGTTCGACATGTCTTCACTTCCTTAATGTGCTCCACGTGTCTTCTCTTGGAACGGGATAAGAATAAAGTTCTCTCTTTTATTCAAATTTGAACTTTAAATCAAAGACATCATCAATGGCATTTTCGTCGAACTACACCTTTAAACTTAAAAACTTTCTCTAAGTCCAAACAACCCTTCCTTCTGGCACATGTGTCACTTGACTAGATTTCCAAAGCTACACTGTCTTGTCGAAGTCTGCTATAACTTCACTACAATTCTCTTTACCTTATTTATTCCACTAATTCAAACCAGACGTCAAAATTACGAGTTAAGAAGTTATAAAACTACAAGGTTACAAATTCGATTCTTAAAATTTAACAAAATTTCATTTTTATAATTTTAACTTTATTTAGTTATTATAAATAATTAACATAATTATATATATTAATAAAATCGAATTTAAAACATAGACACCAAAATTTAAGAAAAATTAAAATTGAGGGGTTTAAATTATAATTAAACTAAAAAATAAAATAAAAAATCAATTCGTCGATTTAAGAAATTTACCCGTTTATTTATTTGATCAATCAATTGACCGAATCACAATAATTTTTATCAGATCAATTATAAATATGATTCGTTAATCTTATCGAACCGCTCAATTCTCCAATTCACAGTTTAATCGCTCAATCTATTGAAATGATCTGGATTTTAAAAATATTGTATCATTTTAAATTGGCATTTCCCGTGCAATTATAAAATAAACTTTTTTTTTTTAATTTGTCCTTTTTAAGACATTTATTATAGGCCCTATAATAATAATAATAATAATAATAATAATAAATATTATAAATATTTATTAAATAGATCTATTTAATAAGCTTAAAGTTCTGTTTGATAAAACTAACTTGTAACTAATAGTTGATAGTTGTTAACTGGTAGTTTATATCTTATAGCTGATGGTTGGTAGTTGATAAAATAATTTGAGTGTTTGATAAATGAGCTGTTACACTGGTTAATAATTACAAAATGACCTAAAATGACATTTTTAATTAAAAAAATTGTGGTTTCTTATCTTATTATATTATTAAATTAAATTAAATTTTATTCAATAAAAGTAAATGTATTAATAACAACATACAAAATAATTTTAATACATATGAAAAATTGAAGATATCATTAAAATATATAAATTTATGAGTTTTGCTATTTAATATGAATATATTGACAACGAAATTTAATAAATAAAAGAATCAGTAAATTATACATCAAACAGATGTATTTTATAAAGCCATTTATGAGAACATAAAAGTAAAAATAATTCTAATAACTACAATTTTTAGTCTGGTTAACTCATTTTTTTGTAAAATATAATTTTTTCCCCTAATTTTATAATAAAATTTAATAAAATACTGAAATAATAAAATTGTAATATTAAATTTAGTTATATTAATATAAAATAATAACAAAAAAATTTTATTATCTAATATTTTACAATAAAAATGTAATAATATTCTGAATTTTCTTCACCTTTATTGATTTAATTGATTATTCTAACTTGAGAATTATAAACATTATTTCTAAATTAATTATATAATTTATATTTAATAAATAAAAATAAAGTCTAATAAAATAGAGAAAAATAATAAAAATCTTCTATAATATTATTTAAAATCTCCCTAAATCAATTTTTTAATAGTAAATAATTTATATATATATATATATATATATATATATATATATATATATATATATATATATATATATATATATATATATATATATAAAATAATAAAAATATAATTAAAATAAAGTTATAAATTAAAAACTACTTTAAATAACTTACGGAAAAAAAGAAGTTAAAACTAATTAAAAAACTATAATCTAAAAGTTAAAAAACAGTTTATTAAACATAAATTTTTAATTAAAATAAACTGAAAAGCTATATGCTAAAAGTTTTTTTTTTTTTTATCTTACCAAACAATTCTAAAATATTTTAAAAAAAAAAAACTGTCGGTTTGTCAGATATATTTTCGATTGCCGCCTAAAAATCAAAGGGTATAGTATGTAATTTAACCAAAATACAAGGGTAAAAGAGTAAAGAAGCTGTATTTCGACCTTTTTATTTTTCCAATAAGGTAAGATTATGATCTGATAAGATCCTTCCCTGAGTTTGTTCCGCAGCGGTTCACTTGCCGTTTCTCTCCTCAACGACGTCGTTTCTCTTCGCCGGAAAAAATGTCAGGGAAAGGAGCAAAAGGTTTGATAACAGCAAACAGAGACAAGGACAAAGATAAAGATAAGAAGAAATCAATTTCTCGTTCTTCTCGCGCTGGTTTGCAGGTAAGAAATCATTCCTTTAATCTTCCTCTTCCGGTTCCGTCATTTAAACCCTAACCTTTGTTTTTACTTTCACATATATCTATTTAACGACACCGTTTTATATAACTTTTTAGGTTTTCTTCTGTATCCAGACTTTTCCGTTAACTATTGATATTTTCTGTTAACTGTTGTTATTTGCAGTTTCCGGTTGGGCGGATCCACCGCCTTTTGAAGACGAGAACCACCGCTCATGGCAGAGTTGGGGCAACGGCTGCTGTCTACTCTGCGGCTATCTTGGAGTATCTGACTGCTGAAGTATTGGAACTGGCTGGGAATGCTAGCAAGGATCTGAAGGTTAAACGGATTACGCCGAGACATTTACAGCTTGCGATCCGAGGGGATGAAGAATTGGATACTCTGATAAAGGGGACTATTGCTGGAGGAGGAGTGATTCCTCACATTCACAAATCTCTTATCAACAAATCTTCCAAGGAATAGATTATGGCTACTGAATAGAAATTTATGTTAATGCTAATTATGGATTTGTTGTTGGGTACAAGAACCTTGAAATAATGGTTTAGAATGTTGTTGATTGTGTATAAACCTAATGTTTTGTTTCTCAATTTTATTAATATGGTACTAATTTCAGTTAGGGATTATGTCATTTTTGTTTCAGTTATTGGGATTATTAGATTGAGGTTTTATGTGCTAGAAAATTGCTACCTGTTAAAGAATTGAAAGTTCTGGTTTGGGCTCCACATGAATTTTTCTTTATTTTCAATTTTATGAACCGTATTTATTACACTTTAAAGCTTGAACAGTCCGAGGGGTGGTCCTATACTTTTAAGACATCAGGATAAAAAGACATGTAGTAGGGTCTAATACAAATGTTGTTTTGTAGCAAAGAAAATATTGATCCAGATTTGATGCTTTCAAACATTTAGAATTGTTGAATGAAATGAAATTTAGTTTGAAACACTAACTTGGAAGGTGAAATGTTTGGTTTTCATCTGATGTTAATTTTCTCATTTGGATTCGGTTCTTATGATTGTTGGGTTCTTATGATTGTTGTGTGATTTAGGACCCAAATCTTAGCAAACAGCAATACAATATATCTCGATGTGTATTTCAAAATGACTGGTATGAGACTTATGCAGCATAAATTTGTGCAGAATTACTAAGAACATAGTGATTTCAGAGTTTTGCTGTACACATCTACAAGCTAAAAAAATGGAATGAAAATGTCAATTCCAATTTTGTTGGAAAACAAAATCACAGTTTAAGATAGTTTAAGGTAATTTCAAGAACAAAAACACGCTTACGATCTGGAATTGCATTTCAGATTTTATGCATTTCGTCAACACAATCCACAAACCAGTCAAATAAATACATTCCCAAGAAACAATAACTAGTTCAAGCACCAATCCATGACAAACTTGGACTCAACTAAAACTGCCCCTAAACTTGACCTACCACTTGTACACCAGAAAGCAGAATAAGCTTCCTAAAGTCTGAACTTTAAAACCAGTAACAAATTGTAACAGCTCGGTAAGAAAAATTCATCAATCTAACAGCTTCCACCTAATGTCGATACACAACTACTTACAATTCCCTTCGTTTAGATGGTAGATACCTTAGGTACATCAACAGGAAACTGGTCAATTTCATCAATCCAAGGGCTTTTCTCCTTAGCAGGGTTGATGGTCCTGAGAGCCTTCCACACTGCACTGTTGCACTTGAATCCAGAACCAAATGCTATTTGCCATGTTCTATCTCCCTTCTTGATCCTCCCTTTTGCTTCTGTGTAAGCAAGTTCATACCAAAGCGAACTGCTAGATGTGTTTCCGAAACGGTAAAGTGTCATCCTCGATGGCTCCATATGCCAAGGAGGTAGCTGCAAGTTTTTCTCCACTTCATCCAAAACAGCTCTGCCCCCGGCATGGATGCAAAAATGTTCAAAAGCTAGCTTGAAATCTGGAATATAAGGCTTAATCTTCATCTTGAAAAGTTTCTTCGCAACCAACGTGGCGAAGAATAGAAGCTGCTCGGACGTTGGAAGTACAAGCGGCCCTAGTGTAGTGATATTGGTTTTTAAAGCATCACCAGCAACTGCCATAAGATCTTTAGACAAATTAACACCAATCTTGCCATTGACATCTTCTTCTTGAGTTACACAGCTAAAGCACTTGTCATCAGAAGCCTTGTTAGTGCGAACAGTAGTGATCAATCGGTATTTCGATCTTCTTTTGTCCGAGCTTTTGTTGGAAAGCAGAACCGCAGCTCCTCCCATACGAAACAAACAATTAGAAACAAGCTTCGACCGTTCGTTTCCAAAGTACCAATTCAACGTGATATTCTCCATGCTAATGACCAATGCATACGAGTTAGGATTGCCCTGTAGAAGATCTTTAGCAAGATCGATTGAGATCAGCCCCGCACTGCATCCCATCCCACCCAGATTGTAGCTCTTCACATTCCCTCGAAGCCTGTAATGATTAACAACCATTGCAGATAGCGACGGAGTTGGGTTGAACAGGCTACAATTCACAATCACAATTCCTATATCTTTAGGCTTCACCGAGGTCTTACCGAATAGCTCATCAATAGCACCAAACATCACAGTCTCAGCTTCTTTCCTAGCTTCCTTCATCGAAGGGTTAGGAGGAAAGTTGAGCACAGCCTCAGGAAGGTAAGTGGATTCCCCGAGTCCGGACCTCTCAAGAATCTTTCTCTGAAATTCGAGATTCTCCTCCGTAAAAGTACTAATCAACCGAGACTGATCCATAAACTTTCTTTTTGTGCACTTCCGCAGCCCCTCCGGCTTATAACACGAGAAATCGACAAGGTACACCGGTTTTGGACGAGTCAAAAAGTAGAGTGTGGATAGAAAAACAAGGAGAGTTGAGCAAAATATGACAGATATCAAATTGTATTGTAGATTCTCCCAAATATCATAAAGATCTTGAATTGAAAAAGTGGATAACTCAGCAGCAATTAACATCACAAGTGGTGAAAGAAAAAGGTACATTCCATGAGTGATTAGATAGTGATAACCAAGTTTAACATACTTCAATTTAACAGATTTCTTGAAATCAGGTAGGTTCCTAGATGAATGTGGCATCAACGGTGTACCTGGTCTTGCATCTGTCATTTTTTCCCTGTTCAAAAGTTGAATCAAACGCAAAAGGCACTTAAATCACACACAAAAGATTCTAGCAAATTCCCTCCAAAAGACCCTTTTTCAGTAAGAACTTCTACTAAAGTACATTGAAAATAATAATCAATAAAAATGCTTGCTTTATCTAATTTACATGTTCTAACATAAAAATCAGGTGGAAATTGTTGTAGATAGATTCAAGTGAAAAAAGATGAAGACAGTAGAAAGTAAGAGCATGAAGTGAGTAAAGAAAATTTGGAAACATGGGAAAAGATTATTCTGCAAATGGAACAAAACCCAGTTCTCAAAATTGTACCTTGAAGACCAAACCGACCAGAGATCCCAGTAGTGTCTTCCGGAGAGAGAGAATGAAGGAAGAATAATTGTTTGTAATTGTACTTATTAAATTTATCTGCAGATTGAAAAAGATGAAGGCAATAGAATATATTTAATTACGCTTTAGCTCTTTAAATATAAGTTATTTTGAAAAATAAGTTGTCTATTTTATTATATTTTTTGAAAATGATTTACTATGTTAATTATTTTAAAAAAATACTCATATTTATCTTATTTTAAGATGACAAAAAAATCATCTCTCCTGAGAGGATTGATAGAAATAGTGCAAAAAAAAAGTTAGTAAATTTATGTAGTTAATAATTTTATAGATGATTTATACTATAAAAAAAAAACTAGTACACATTAATAAATTTGTTGTTACTAAATGAATTAGTAACTTTTGTTTGCATCCGTGAATTACTTGTTACTAAATAAATTAGTAACTTTTGTTTGCATCTGTGAATTACTGAAGTGAATAAAAAAGTTAATTACTAAAATAGGTAAATAGGATTTTTTTTTCTTTTTTTTTAATCAAAAGAGGGCATAGTCCAAGTAGATATATAAAAAAGAATAGGTACATAAACCAGGGAGTCAAAATTTTAAACCTATTTAATTTCAAAAAATTAGAAAAATCTAATTTGTTTCTATTGAAGTCTGAATCCACATATGTATAAATCAGCCTATCAAGTAAAATTAGTAATATTTAAGTTTAAGGTAACTAAACTATCTGTACAATAATTTTATTTTCTATAAATATAAGTTGCAAAAGTTGCAAAAAAATTAGAATTACCAAATAAAGAATATAATTATTTTATCTATTTTTAATTTCCAAAGTACAATACATGAATTACCGTAGGCTTTATCAACTAAAATAGAATCCATCTTCAACCACAAATTATCAACTTAGCTTTTGAATGTAAAAGTCTCTCCTTAGAAATTTGCAAGATATCAACCAAAACCTTACTATGTCAGTTATCTCTCCAAAAGTTTATCTTGAACCATTACTGACCAATCAGCTAAAATTATCTGACAGAATATTCCAAAATGATTTACTCCCCGTCTAAATAGAAGAGAAAACATGATATTTTACCTGTTTACCTTTTTGAATAAGAGAGCAAGGAGTAATAGTTTTAGAATGAATGTTTACCCATTATCGAAATTATAAATAAAAAAGTTTAATTTTATATTAATTAAAAAAATTAGTTAAATATAATTAGTTTTTTTTAGTGTTATATATAATTAAAATAATATTTATCATAATATTTTTAGTGATATTTGATAAATAAATTATGAATATTTAATATTTTTGAATTAAATGAAAGATATATATCAATAATATAACCATTATTAGTTATTTAAAAATTATTGACTTTTATAATAATAATAATGATGATTAAGATTTAAAGTCATTTTTTTCTTATAATAATAATAACAGGAACGAATGTGTTTGTGGCATGGGTGAAATGGAATTTACAAAAAGCATGAAAAGAAAGAACAAGTTCTTTGTTTCAAAATTTATTTATTTATTTATTTTAGGAGCCACGCCTCTTAAAAAATGTTTTAAAAATTTTAAAAACAAATAATTAGTGTTTAAAAATATAAAATTTAAATTTTAAAATGAATCATGCACAAGTTTCATAATAAGACATACATTTTTATATTACTTTTATATTATTTATAATTCTATTTTTTAATAAAATTCATAAGTATTTAAATTCTAAAATTCATGTTAAATATATTTCTATTTTATTTTTAAAAAATTACATTTCTCGTATTCTAAAATTTAAAATTAAATTCTATAGCTCAAGCATATTAAACATTTTTATTTTTACAGTATTTCACTTTATCATTTTTAAAATTCAAGCACAATATTTTTATAGAAGTATTCAAATTTAATTCGATCTAAATAAAAAACGTAAATTGATAAATAAAAAATTGAACATCACACAGAAACAGAATAACCTTGGTAGTGCTTAGAATTATCTTTTATAAAAATCGTTTAGATCAAAATTTAGATTAATATTTTAAAATCTATCCATGTCAAATTCAACCGCATTCATATATTATAATGTTTATTTATTTATTAGTATGCTACATTATGTCATATTATTATGTTTTAATATATAATTTGTTTAATTAATTAATTAATTATGTATATTTCATTTATTTCAAACACACTTAATTGTTATTTTTTGTAATTTTAAGTTTGGATATACTTTGTATATTACTTTAAATTTATTATTTTATAGTATTAATATTAATAAAAAATTATAATTTATAATTTGAATATTTAAAATGCGATTTAAATTAAATCTCATCTAATTAGATCGGATGAGTTTTAATTATTTAAATTAGTTATTCAAAACAGAATAAAATCATAAGTAATTTTCTCGTTGAATCGGATGAGATTTTTTTTCAAAATCGATCAAAACTACAAACACTTCTAATTTTCTATATGAAACAAAAGAGGTGCCAAACGCAACAGATTTATTTTTTTCCGTAAAAATGCTCTGGCGATTTGAGAACCTCAACTTTATTGTTCATTAAACCTAAATCATGCATTAAGCATCCATCGTCATTAGCAACCGACAACAACACCACATACAACCCATCTGCCAACATTTCATGGCCTTGCTTGCAAACATCTACCATAAAAAACCTTCTTCGACATCATCAACCACCAAAACCAAAACCTTTGCCGAGACGATTCATAATGTCTGCGACATACCAACCTCACATCTCCCTAAACTGGTCATCAAAGGAGATAAGATAGCCATTACAATAACGAAAGATGAATATCTTGCAGGTCATGAAGCCTGTAAGCACAACCTTCATGCTAGAATCATATGGCCTAAAGGTACGACCCCTCTTAGAGTAAGTGTCTTGCGAAACAAGCTATCACCTCAGTGGAAGGATCTTGGCAAATGGGGAATCACATCGCTTGGCAAAGGATTTTATGAATTTTCTTTCTCAACCATAGAGGACTCCTAACAAGTAGATCAATCTGTTCTTGGAATTAGAATCCTGACTTCTTAAAGTTTTTTGCATGAGCCAAAGCTTTCAACCCAAATGTTCAACCACACTCTTCTGCCTAAGTTTGGATTAAGATATTCGAACTTGCTCAAGAGTATTGGTGCCAAAAATTCTATTTGATATTGGAAGCATTGTTGGTACACTGATTTGTATTGATCAATTCACTAACAAACCTAAGTTTGATTGAGGATTTGGCCGTTATGTTAGAGTTATAATGGATATTGATTTGGTCATTTATAGGGTTTTGGTCGAAAGAGCAGGATTTTATTTTTTTCATGGACATTGATTATGAGAACATGTCGGACTATTGCACCTCATGCAACTGTATAGGTCATAATATATCGGTATGCAGGAAACCCAATGCAAATATCAAAAATCAAGTTGATCCTGAAGTTACCAAGCATGTTTACCAAGTCGTGAAAAATAACAACAAACTAGTAGACCTACAAACCACTATCAGTGAATTTAGAGAAAATAAAAAGACATTTGTCCATAGAGGAAGTCCCAACAACAAAGATACCACTGAGGCATCCAGTTTAAAGAACCAGAGTGAGGAAGTACATATCAATAATGACAACACCAATTCAATCAAAACCTTTGAGGTAGACACTAGTCCTAAACCAGCTACCCCTACTCATGATGATGACGATAAAGAGTCATCAAACTCTGACTTTGTTGATGCAACTCAGTTAGAAATGCAATATGACACTGACCCAATACTTTCATTTAGTCAACCTCCTCAGCCAAAACTAGTAACTTCTAATAGAATCAACAAGTATGTTGTTCTATGTGATTGGGTGAATTAGTTAAAACAACATATATACAAGATACATGTTGGTATAGATGAAACATATGGAACAAGATGTTCCAACATGTGTTCTAGCATCTGGCCTTAGTCTATTAGCTAGATTTCATGAAGAAAGCTAAGTGCGACCGTGTTTGTTTTTCTAAGAAGATTTGTTCATTCCATGTTTCTGCTAAAGTGTTTGACAAAAAGACTTGGTTGTAAGCAACTTGTTTAGTAATATGTTCAACACATGTTGTGTGGCATCCAGGCGTAAGGATTGGGTTTTAATTATCTTTATAGTTCCTTCATATTTATTTTGGTGTTAATTTCTTCAGAAGATGCGGGAGGTTACTTTTGGAAGAAGTTTGTTAATCCAAATCAATTTGTATAAGATGTTATTAAGTCGTGATTAGGACTTATATGATTTAATTAAAATATTTGGATTTGATTTAGTCAAATAAGACTTGATTGGATTTTCTTTGAAGGAAGATTCAATTTAGATTTATTTTATCCAAGATTTACTCTACAAAGAAGATTCATATTCCATGAAGAAAGTTAATTCGAATGTTCTTATGCAACATGTGGAACACGATGTTCCAGCATGTGTGTAGTACAACATCTGACCCTTGTTAGAAGGTCATGATGGATGTTATTAGGTGCGAAATTTCTAATTGATTTCAATCAGATTGGTTGCTATATTTTAGCAATGTATTTATGTGGATTTGTTTGTTAAGGATTGGTTAAGATCAATTCAATTTAAATGGAGATTAACACCCTCAATTTAACCTTGGAGGTATTGTTTTCAATGTTAATGATAATTCTGACCCTCAATTTCTCTCTCCCTCTCCACACTCAATTTCTCAATTAGTCACTAATTTTATGGCTACAAGTTCGAACATTTGGCATCAAGAGCCTAGTTCTTATCCACAATAACCTTGTGTGCAACATGTATTATGTATCCAATGAAATAATCCTTGAAAACCTACCCATCCTTGATGTGAAGAATTGCAACAGATGGTGCAAACAAATGAATATGTTGTTTAGTTACCAAGATGTTCTTGAAGTGATCAAGAACGGGGTGAATCCTATTGATGAAGGTGTAGCAGATGCATAGTGAATGACACATAAGTAAGATAAGAAGAAAGATTTCAAGTTGTTGTTTTTGATCCATCAATGTGTGAATGGTGACAACTTTGAGAAAGTTGATGATTAGGAATCATTGAAGCAAGTGTGGGAAATCTTAGAGAAGGCATACACAAAGGGTGACAAGGAAACTGTGGTGAGGTTACAAACTCACAAGCGTCAACTTGAATTGATTCAAATGGAGGAAAAATAGATGATTAAAAATTTCACAATAAGAATCACTCGATTAGTGAATCAAGTGAATGCATTGGAGAAACAGTTACAAAGCAGTATGTTGTCGTGAAAATCTTGCGTTCTTTAATGCCGAGATTCGACAACATGGTTGCAAGTTGTAACAATTAAAGAATCGAAGGATCTTGCAAAAAAATAGCAAAGAGGAGTTGCAAAGATCTCATGAGGCTCATGAACAAAGGATGAAGGAGAGAAATAATGATAAGGAAAAGGCATAGATCACTTTGCAAGCTCGTTTCAACAAGAAGAACAAGAGCTCAAAAGGAAAATGGCCCATGAAGCATAAAGGGAATTTCCAAAATTTTGGTGGAAGAGAGTCCCAAAGTTTCAAGAATTCAGATTTTCAAATGGGTGAAAGCAATTGTAACAAAAATGGTGGTCAAGGCAACTTTATAGGTGAAAGAAAGACGATTGACAAAAGCAAGGTGCAATGCTTTAATTGTCAAAGGTTCGGTCATTTTGAAAAAAAAATACAATGCTAACAAGAAGGAATCTCAATGAGATGAAACCAAAGTTAAAATATAAGAGTTTAATAAGGAAAATACATTGTTGGTCATGATCACAAAAGAGGAATGCAACAACAATTTTGAAAACGCTGCAGAAACATGTTATAACCGGTTATGTAAAAACTATAACCGGTTCCAAGTAGAAGAAAATGTCATGATGAGTGTGAAATGTTTAGTTCAGTGCAGTGAGGAATGATATTTGGACTCCGGGTGTTCTACTCATATGACGGGGAGGAATGATTGATTTGTTAAAATCAATCGTGCCATAAATAATAAGGTGAAATTCGCAGATGACACCACTCTAACGATCGATGGGATCGACGACTTTTTGATCATGAGAAGGGATGTTGGACATTACTTGATAGATGTATTGTAATCAAGTGTAACCTTCTAAGAATTGGCCAATTTCTTTAGAAGAGTTACAAGATTCACATGGAAAATAAAGGGTAGCGAGTTATGGATGCAAATGGGGTTTTGGTCCTTAAAGCTCTTATGTCTTCCAATAGAACCTTCAAGATTGAGTTGAAGATTATGGAGCATAGATTTATTTCTATAATGGTGAGTCAAGAAGAGTGGATATGACACTATCGTCTCGGGCATCTCAATTTCTGAGATCTTAAACACTTGTAAAAGAACGAAGTGATAACAGGGTTGCCATTGATCTACATACCTACTAAAATATGTGAAGAGTGTATGCAAGTGAAGTAACATAAAGATAAATTAAGGAAGGGTGCAGGTTGTAGAACCAAGAATCACCTTGAGGTGGTGTATTTAGACGTGTGTGGACTGATGCAAGTTGACTCGATTGGTGGAAATAGATATTTTGTCGCATTCATCGGTGATCATATTAGAAAACTAAGGACATACCTAATCAAGATAAAGGATGAGGTATTTGAAGTTTTTAAGAAGTTCAAGTCCATGGTTGAGGGGAACAGCAGTCACAAGCTCAAAACAGATGGAGGAGGAGAATATGTCTCAAAGTACTTTGATAGGTTTTATGATCAAGAAGGGATAATACATGAGGTTGTACCACCTTATACACTACGTAGAAACGATTCTGCCAAAAGGAATAACCAATCAATCATGAACATGGTATAAGCATGTTAAAGGGGAAGAACTTGCCGAAAGAGTTATAAGGAGAATCGATATCCATAATTGCCTATTTGTTGAATAGGTGTCCAACAAAGAATCTTGAGAAGGTAACACCGGAGAAAACATGATTGGGATTCAAACTGAATCTGAACCATTTGAGATTTTTTGGTTTTGTAGCGTATCGACATGTTATGGGGTATCTTAGAAAGAAGCTGGGTGATAAGGGAGAATGATGATACTTGTAGGGTATCACTCTAATGGTTTTTATAAGTTGTTTTATGCAACAAACAGGAGAGTTGTGATCAGTCGAGACGTCAATTTCGACAAGATAAAACAACTACTGCAATCTGTAACCGGTTACGTAAAATCTGTAATCAGTTATAACTTTGAATGTTCATATTCTGCAGAATAGGGAAGTTCATAAACGTCCATTGTCGAAGCCTGAATTGAAGATAATGTGAGAATATCAACAAGGAAGAGAGGTTTCCTCAAAGACTCCAAAGTTGTGAGTTGTTGTGAGACAACAAAATCAATGATGATGGTGATTTTGTCCATTTTGCACTTATGGCCAAATCTGAACCCGTTAAAATGGAACAAGATTTAAGTGATCCAAAATGGATTTGTGTCATGAAGGAGGAGCTTGAATATATTTAGGAGAACAATACTCAGGAGTTTGTTGATCTATTGGACAGGAAAAGCCAATTTGTGTGAGATGACTGTTCAAAGTGATGGAAAATCCCAAGGGTGAAATAATCAAGCATAAGGCTCGATTAGCTGCAAAGGGATTCTTGTAAATAGAATGCATAGAATTTGAAAAGCTATTCAAACCGGTTGCTAGGATTGAAACCATTAAGCTAGTTATTGGTATTGCAAATAACAACAATTGGTCCATGTATCAAATGGACGTCAAATCTGTGTTTTTGAACGAACCGCTTGAAGAAGAGGTGTATGTAAAATAGCCCTCTGGTTTTGTTATGAGAAACCAAGAGTTAAAGTTCTACAAGTTCAAGAAAGTGCTATACAATTTGAAGCAAACTCCAAGAGTTTGGAACAAAAAGATAAATGGTTTTCTAAAGGAGGTTGGCTTCAAGAAATGTGTATCTGAGCATGGCGTGTATGTAAAGACGAATATAAGTGAATGGGTGATTATCTTTTAGTCTATATGTATATGACTTGTTAATAACAGACATCAACAAAAA